TTAAGACTTGTGGACTTCAACTCCCAGAATTCCTCAGCCAGCAAAGCTGGCTGAGGAATTCTGGGAGTTGAAGTCCACAAGTCTTAAAGTTGCCAAGGTTGGACACCCCTGCCTTAGACAAAGAGCAATTTCATGAATCAACAGTGCTGGTCAGCCTGATCTGCAACAATCTGACATGTGCTCTAAAACAGAGTGAAAACAAGTAACAACCCTTGTTAACAATTCTCTAGACAGACTTCTGAGCTGCTGACCCAGCTCTTAAAAGCTCTTGCGAACCGGCACCAGGGAAAAAAAAATGTAAAGATTAATGGAAAAGCGCAATTTAAAAAGAGGCAAGACAGAAGGTTTCCATTTAGACGGCACACTCTGAAATAATCACGTTCTCTTCCCTAAAATATGAGTGGCTTTTCTGCTCCAACAGGACAGTGAAGAGAAAGAAATGGAAGCCGAGGTGTCTAAGGATTAAAAACAAATCCAGGTACTTCTCCTTCGTCATGGTGGCGCAATGGTTTGAATGCAACATTGCAGGCTAACTCGATGCCCACTAGCCAGCAGTTCGATCCTGACTGGCTCAAGGTTGGCTCATCCTTCCATCCTTCCGAAGTTGGTAAAATGAGGACCCAGATTGTTAGGGGCCATAAGCTGAGTCTGTAAACCACGTAGAGAGGGCTGTAAGGCACTGTGGAGTGGGAAATAAATCGAAGTGCTATTGCTATAAGTGCTATTTATGTTTTCAAGGCACAAGTGTTATATCCAAACATCCAAAACAGTCTGGAGAAAGCTAGAAATGAGTAAATAAGGCAGACATGCCACAGGAATGCACTGATCAGCATGGATAGTCGGTCCAGTATTGATCTTGGTGTTAATTTCTGCTTATCTGGAAATTGATTGCCGGTGAGGGAGTCTTTTGGTCCTCTTGTTTCCTTTTTGGCTTTTTGATTATCTGTTTTGAATGGTGTGTAGATGTTGTTTATCTCTATGTGCCTGCTGATAGCTGGGAGGGACCACCAAGAACATTCCACCAACACTGACAGAGCAAGACGCTATATATATAAAAAGAACAAACCCCACTCTCTTCTAGCACTGATGATATTACCTAGTTTGGATAATGAAACGTCTTCAAGAAAACAACCGAGCTCAGTGAACACCAAAAACCCCTCATTCAATATGTACAATCAGACTTGCAAATTTTACTCTTCCTGTTGAGTTGATTTCCTGATCTGGGCTATTTAGTAGGGCTGTGACACTATATAATAGTAGACAACAGAGGAAAAAAATGGGATTGGAAATAATTAGCTGCTTTATCAAAGAAATGTTGTACAGCAGAAACCTGAGAATGAGGGTGGAGAATTAAGTGAACGCAACAGGAATAAAGGGGTAATTAGTGAAGAAAAATATGATTACAGTGGCCATTGAGAGCAAATGAAAAGTAAGGCAGATTCTGGGAATCAAGTTCACGTAAATTAGCTTTGGTCTATATCCCACAGCCACTTAGTAACACGAGTACCCTTCCAGCCTCTGCTGAGCTAGTATTGACCAACAATTAAAAAGCAAACAATACCCCAATTAAGGACTAGCAATTCAGACAAATAAGTTAACAATAAGCAATAGCCTAATCAAGGAACCACCAAGAAAACTCCCACCAACAGTGTCAGGGCAAGCCACTTGTATATTAACAAACAGCAAACCTCACTTCTTTCTAGCACTGATGATGTTACCAAGTTGGGTAATGAAATGTCTGCAAGAAAGCAACCAAGTTCAGAGAGCACCAAGGACCCAAGTATTCAACCCTGACCTACAAATATTCTATTGATATTGAATGATAACATCTATAGACCTGTGACCAAAATGACTCACATAGAATCCTGAAGTTTAGATTATGTATCAAGTTGGTGTCAACCTTTAGTGACTACATATGTAGACCTTCTCTAGTATAATCTGTCCCCAGGCTGGCCCTTTAGAACTGGAGTGTCAAACTCAAGGCCCGCAGGCTGAATCCGGCCCATAGGGTGCTTAAATCGGGCCCATACTGGAAACAGCAAAGGACCAGCCAGCGGTGGCTCTGGCAGTGAAAACGGAAGTGCCCCCCCCCCCCACCCACACAGCCATTTTCACTGGCAGAGTGCTCGGCCCACCACAGGCACCCCCGACATGAGTGACATCAAGCTGGCCACGTCCCACACCCCCTCCAAAGAACCACAACTTTTGTGTTCGCCGGCAGCCTGTGTAGACAGCAATAAGGCTGGGAGGTGATTGCCCTCCCTAAGGTATAAAAGACACGTAAAGATGACGAAACCTTTGCAGAAAGCAAAGTCGTTCATTTGGTTCAGATTCATTCTTGAAGCTCTTCGTACTTTGGTTGGTTTTTGTTCTGGTTCATTGGACACTTCTGTTGTTGGCAGCACTTCACAGGAAGAAAGGTGGGTGCTTATCTCAGGGGACTGAGATTCATTACCGGCTGGGAATGAAATTAATTCCCAGTATTGCAATAAAACAAGACTTGTTTTTAAAATAAGCATGTGCGTAATTATGATCTCGGAAGCCTTGGTCAGAACAACAACCCTGATGCGGCCCTCAATGAAATTGAGTTTGACACCCCTGCTTTAGAACATATCTTTAAAGCCTCTGCAGCCCTAAACCTGGAGGATTTAATATTCCCCAACACAAGCTGAGTATATAAGAAAATATATCCATCATGATATTGAAAAGCTTTCCCTGACAGTCAGATAATACAAAAAAGAAATCCCAAAGGCACAAAATACATAAGGCTATAATTGACCCTTGACACTTAAAGCAACAAGCTTGCATGAGATCACATTTTTGACTTGACAGAAATATCCTTTCAAGTAGCAGGTAAAGAACTAACTGGTCAATCAAATGTTAAGCTTTGCCAGTCACATAGCGCTCCCTAAAGCCAAGACACAAAAGGCCAAATAAAGGATCAATTCATATTCTCTATGCTGTGCCAGCACAGCAAATCCAGGACAAAGCTGACACAGTTAAGCAACAACCCACTGTAATAACCTTCCCCTCTCTTAGCTAAATAGCTAAATAGACTGCATGCCAGGGTAGGGAGATCAAAGGACAATCTAAGAAAATGGGGCTTCCTTATAGAAGACTCTGTATGAATGTAGAGAAGAACAATGCATCTCACATATACTATGGTGCATACAATGTCCTTCAACATGTGTGAAGGAAGACCTCATGCTGGCGAGAGAAATAGCAATAGCACTTAGACTTACCATATATACCACTTCACAGTGCTTTTACAGCCCTGTCTAAGCGGCTTACAGAGTCAGCCGCTTGCCCGCAACAATCTTTTTTTACCCACCTCGGAAGGACGGAAGGCTGAGTCAACCTTGAGCCTGGTGAGATTTGAACTGGCAAATTGCAGGGAGTCAGCAGTCCGCAGAAATAGACTACAGTACTGCATTCTAATCACTGCGCCAATTCGGCTCTGTGAGTGTGGCCCGATACCCAGCAAATGTTATTTAGTTTTAATACTATTTATTCTATATAGAGGGCACAATGGCTCATTGGTTAAAGATGCTGGGTTTGTCAGCTGGAGAGTTGACAGCCCAGGTTTGAGACCCGAGCTCTGAGCAACAGGTTGGGCTCCCGTCACTTGCTCCAGCTCCTGGCTATCTAGCAATTAGAAAACATGTGAGTAGATTAATAGGTACCACTTCAGTGGGAAAGTAACAGCATTCCATGTGCCCCGACATATAATCAGGCTGGCCACATGGAAAATGTTTTCAGACAATGCTGGCTCCCTCAGCCAAGAAACAGAGGTGGACACGACTGACGGGGAAACCTTTACCTTTTTATATTCCTATGACCTGTTTTATACCTATTTTATTCGCTCAGTGTTGAATGTTGTATGTCTATAATTTGTAAGTGCTTCTGACACCAATAAAGAAAGACCTCCAAAGATCCAAACTTACTGGTTCTGAGCCCACCTGTAACCTGCATACCTGGCAATAAAGTTTAATGAATATTTCAAATTCAGCCAGGTTGCCAGTTGGCAGGCAAACGTGAATGACAACTTATTTTTATGTACAAGAAGGCAAGGGGATCTGTTTTGTCCTTGAGCTGAAAAATGCCCAGCAGCATAAAAAAAAAAAGGGAGCTTATCCCTGTGTAGAAAAATACCTAATATCTCCTTCGTGAAATGCTTCTTCACTTGGTATTGTTCACTTGAAATGTTTTAAAACACCGCTTTCTGCACTGGTGTGTGTGTGTGTGTGTGTGCAGGAGATGGAGGGCGGGAAGAGAAATTACCTCTGCAACCTTTGGAGGAACTCCATCTCCGAGAACTTCCCGAATGAAGCATTGTTGGCTCATGTAACACGAGAGTCCGCAGGTCCTCTTGAAGGCATCTTTCAGCCGTTTTAGCTCTACGTCCGTCACTATATTGAACAGAAGAAAAGGGAGAGGGAGGGAGAGGAATTAGGCACATTTGTTTTAAATAAGGACTCTTTGCACTCCTTAACTCAGGTGGTGTAAAACTCAAGGCCCGCGGGCCAAATCTGGCCCCTGGGGTGCTTAGATCTGGCCCATGGGGCCACCCTGGAAACAGCGAAGGAGTGGCCGGAGGAGCCTCTGCCAGCAAATAAACAGCTCCATTTTCATTGGTAGAGGGTTGCAGGAGGCCGTCGCAACTGAAAATGGAGCTCGTGAGCCTGTTGTCACTGGCAGAGCACTCGGGCCGCCACAGGCGCCCCCGACACGAGTGACGTCAAGCTGGCCACGCCTCCCGCCTGCCAGAGGTCAAACACAATCCCAAAGCGGCCCTCAATGAAATCGCGTTTGACAACCCTGCCTCAACTATTCAAAAAGGAAAAAAAAAGAGAGTGAGATTAAGACATCTATAGACCATTTGTCTCATAAGGCAAACTCAACCACATGTCCATCTTAGAGATGGTTTTCTACCTAGGAGGTTGACCACTTTTGAACGTACTGCTGGGTCTTCCTCAAAAGTCTGAATGAAGAGATGCAAGAATAAGCTACAGTAGTCCTTGACGTACAATGATTCAACTAGAGACCGTTCAAAGTTACAATAGCACTTATATAAGGTCAGTCCCTGCACTTATGACCGTTGTAGCATCCCCACCGTCACAGGATCAAAATTTGGGTGCTTGGCAACTGGCATGCATTTATATATCTATTTATTTATTATTTAATATATAAAATACAAAGAAAAATAGAAATGGGAAATTAAGGGAAGGAAAAGGAGAGGGGGAAAAGATGATGTGAGGTACAAAGGAAAAAAGAAGAAAAAAAAGGTGTTGACTTCCATTTTTTTTAGCACAGTACAAGATAAAAACACTTCAGCCTCAACTTTTTGCTTTTACATATTAGCATATAAGTAGAGTTCTAGAGTATTTCTTTTGGTAAGGTGAAAGAATTTGAAAGAATATAGTGAACTTTGTTAATAAAAATGGTGATAGTTCACAAAGATTAATGGGTACAAACAGAAATACAAACTATTTCCATAGCAAGGAAGATAAAGCAGGAATGGTTAGATTGATTATTTTATTTAAAGAGGAGAATATATTTAAGTACATTGTTCACTTAGATATGACTTCTAGATTTTCTGCTTCTGATGAAAAAATATATATGAAATTTTGACTTTGCTTTTGCCAATTAGATAAATTTGTCGTTTTAGAAATGGCAATTGGCATATATTATGCAGCATCCTTTTGTGATTTTTCCCAGCCAGCTTCCAACCCAGCAAACTCAATGGGGGAAATCAGATCTGCTTAATGACGGCATGATTCATTTAACAACTGCAGTGATTTGCTTAACAACCATGGCAAAAAGGTCATGAAATCAGATAGGATTCACTAAACTTGCCTAACAACAAAAATTCTGGCCCCTATTGTGGTCATAAGCTGGGAACTATTTTTTTATTCCCAGCACAATCTTTCACTTCCAATCCAATTCATACATGTACAGTATATTGTGCCTAATGGTCAGCACCTAAAAATTTCTCCTTATACAGCTCTTCTGTTGCAACTCAGCACTTCAAAAACTGACTCAATTCAGAAGTTTGAACCAAGTAGATCCGTGATGACAAACCTGTGGCATGCAGAGCCATTTGTGTGGGCACGCAAGCCCCAGCCAAACTTACCTGCACTGCCTCCCAGCTGATTTTCAGTCCATTTGAGGCAGTTTTGGCCCTCCTGGAGGCTTGAGGGAAGCCTCTACAGCCTCGGGAGGCCAAGAAACGGGCCTTCCGGAAAAACCGGAAGTGCCGAAATGGGCCCATTTTCAGCCTCCTGAGGATTCCCTCAAGCCTCCGGGAGGCGAAAATAGCCTCAAATGGGCCAAAAATCAGCTGGGAGGCGCGCGCATGCGCAGTGCAGGTAAGGTGGCAGGGTGGGGGTGTTGTGCACACATGCACAGGGTGGGCGGGGGTGCATTGCATTGTGGGTGCTGGTGCATGTGCTTTCAGCACACCACAGCAAAAAGGTTTGCCATCACTGGAGTAGATGGACAGAGGAATAAAACAGGATTTTTTTTTTTTTTAAAAAGGCCCAGAATACTCATTTTTCAGTTTCACTGCTAAAATATTTACTGTGTTTTTCTTAGCTCTGTAGGAACTTTGCTATTTGTACTATGATGTGAATCTGAAGTAGGAGAATTCTTGACTGTGAGAAGAATCCTTCTCGATCCCCAATTTTCTTGGATATAAAACACTAATGCTCCCAAACAAACACCTCCTGGACTGCCAACCATTGTTATTATCTTTGCTTATTCACAGAAGGAAAAAAGAGTTGTCACCAAGACGGTTGACAACCATTATCAGTGGCACAAAAGCACAGTGGGACTCAAATTGACAGGGAGGAAACAACAAAATCTAAGAAAGGTAGAACCATCAGCTGAGGCCAGGTGGGTTGCATATGCCCCGTGGTTGATCCTTAGCAAGAAACTGTGATATACTATGCTAATACCTCATTTACATGCCACCTAGAGTCGCTAATGGTGAGAGGGCTGGCATATAAATTTAATAGATAAATCTGAAAAAATGATGCAAGTGGAAGCCTTTGAATCAGAATCAGAATAGAGCTGGAAGTGAGTAGAGTAGAGTAGAGTAGAGTAGAGTAGAGTAGAGTAGAGTAGAGTAGAGTAGAGTAGAGTAGAGTAGAGTAGAGTAACAGAATTGGAAGGAGGCCCTATACCATTTCAGACCAGTGGCTGTCCAGTCTCTTCTTAGAAACCTCCAGTGATGAAGCACCCATAACTTCTGGTGGCAAGCTGTTCCATGGGTTAATTGTCCTCACTATTAGGAAATTTCTCCTTAATTCCAGGTTGCTTCTCTCCTTGGTTCGTTTCCATCCACTGTTTCTTGTCTTGCCTTCTGCTGCTCCAGAGAATAATTTGACCCCCTCTTCTTTGTGGCAGCCCCTCAAATACTGGAATCCTGCTATCATGTCCCCCCGTGACAAACCACTGTCAATCAAAGATGGAGTCTTTGCCATACATCAGCCAATCAAGTTCTCCTGAAATATCTCCAAATGTCTTTGCTCAGCACTGGGAGACCTAAATTAGCATACAGATAGTCTTCGACTTACAACAGTTCATTTAGCGGCACTTCAAAGTTACAACGGCACTGAAAAAAGCGACATAACAATTTTTCATGACAACCTTTGCAGCATCCCCATGATCATTTGATCAAAATCCAGAGGCTTGGTTCATACTTATGACCGTTGCAGCATACCACGGGATTGTGTGACCATTTTTCGCAATCTTCTGATAAGCCAAGTCAATGGGGAAGCTAGGTTCACTTTAACAACCAGGTGACTAACTTATCAACTGTAGTGATTCACTTAACAACTGTGGCAAGAAAGGCCATAAAAAGGGGCAAGACTCATTGAACCAATTCTCACTTAACAACAGAAATTTGGGGCTCAATTGGGGGGTCGTACATCAAGGACTACCTGTAGAGGTAGACTCTTGACTTACAACCGTCTGAAGTTACAATGGCACTGAAAAAAAAATGACGTATAACCAGTCCTCGCATCCCTACAGTCAGGTGATCAAAACTGAGGCACTTGGAAGCCAGCATGTTATCATTCATTTATTTATTCCACAAAAATATACAGCTGCCCAACTCACATATTTATGATGGGCGCAGTGTCCCAGGTTCATACGATCCCTGTTTTCAACCTTCCCAGTTGGCTTCTGGCAAGCCAAATCAATGGAGAAAGTCGGAATTCGCTTAATGACTGCACAATTCGCTTAACAACCACAGCGATTCATTTAACAACTGTGGCAAAAAACAGTTGTAAAATGGGGTGCAATTCATTTAACCAGCTACCTTGCTCAGCAACAAAAAATAATCTGGCCTCAGTTTTGGCTACTAGTCAAGGACTACCTGTAATAATATTGAAATTAATTTAATAAAAATTGAATTAGCTGCAGTTAAATATTATTTCCTCTAAGTGTATTTAATATTTTATTGTCTCATTGATTTTTCCTGAGACGTGCACGATTGGCTTCTTTTGATTTCAGCCACTTTCTCACTTTCTCTCTAAGAGCTCATTTAAAAAATATCAGGAGGGTGTTTTTAAAATACATGTCAGGAGAAATAGCAGTAAGTGCCTTAGAATCAGCAAAATCAGAATCAGAATAGAGCTGAAAGGGACCTTAGAGGTCTTCTAGTCCAGCCCCCTGCTTAAGCAGAAGACCCTACACCATTTCAGACAAGTAACTAGTCTCTTCTTGAAAGCCTCCAGGGATGAAGCACCCACAACTTCTGGAAGCAAGCTGTTCCACTGGTTAATTGTCCCCACTGTGAGGAAGTTTCTCTCCTTAATTCCATGTTGTTTCTCTCCTTGATGAGTTTCCATCCATTGTTTCTTGTCCTGCCTTCGGGTGCTTTGGAGAATTAATTGCGCTGAAGACTTATATATCACTTCACGGTGCTTTGCAGCCCTCTGCAAACAGTTTACAGAGTCAGCATCTTGCCAACAAGATTTTACCGACCTCAGAAGGACGGAAAGCTGAGCCAACCTTGAGCTGGCCAGAATCGAATTCCTGGTGTGAGCAGTGAGTTAACCCATCCATTGTTAGTTAGCTTAGTTAGTGAGTTAGTTTCCATCCATTGTTTCTTGCCTTGCCTTCTGGTGCTTTGGGAAATTGACCTCCCCTCCTCCTCTTTGTGGCAGGCCGTCAAGGACTGGAACACCGCCCTCATGTCCCCTCCAGTCCTTCTTTTCTCTAGAGCAGGGGTCTCCAACCTTGGCAACTTTAAGACTAGCGCACTTCAACTCCCAGAGTTCCTCAGCCAGCAAAGCTGCCAAGGTTGGAGACCCCTGCTCTAGACTAGCCAAACCCAAATCCAGCAGCTACTGTCTAGCCTCAGACATAACTTATGAAAATGATATGCAGCCTGGGGCTAGTT